ATATATATACATGTATGTACGTATTTTAATGTTTCGCACATAGGGCCATCATAAGAGGAGTGTCTACACTCCATTTACAAGCTTGAAGAAGAGGTATTTCTCATCCACAGAATGAATAATTGCATTGCAAGTCATGACCAGAAACGTCATCGTTCGCCTCTTAAGGCGCCACACTATTATAGACTGGCTACTCGTGCGCAATTGAACCACTACTTATATTTATCTAAATTTCATGATTACAAATTATTTCAAATTTTATAACATTATTTTTTTTCATAATATTATTTCATACTATTATTCAAATCAAATAAATCCAGAAATATATATTTTATCACAATTTAATTTTCGAAGTTGACAATCAAATCATAAAATTACAATAAAATAGTTATTTCTGGGTCTGTTTAAATGTACTTTTGGACTATATAAAAATAAAAAATATCTATTTTCATGTCGTTAAGTTATTTATTTAAGTATAAAATTAAGATATTTTTGATAAATAAAAGCAAAAATCCCTAGTGGAGTACGATATTACGTTGGTTATTAGGAAATTCCGAAAAAATTTTGATGTCTGTCTCTTGTCTTACCTCACATCTTCTTCAAGTTTAAAACACGGAGTTTATAACAAGAAACTATAAAGAGAATCCAATATATATATATATATAGGGGAAATTCAGGTAGCCCCGCCCACCTAAGGAGTATTGCTTATATTTCTGTATAATATTGAGTAATCATAAATATTTTTGTTTATTTCTATTGTTTTATCATCTACTTAAGCAATGCAAGAAGAATAAACCAAAAAAAGAATAGTTTAACTTAAAAAAACAGAAATTTAGAAAAACATGTTTTTCAACTTTTTTCAAAATGTGTCGGGTAGCTCCGCCCAGTTACAAAAATTATGTTTTTTGACTGTTTTTTCAGGTGTAAATGAAAATGACCAATGTATTGACAATAGATAAACCTCACTTGTCATTTTTATCACAAAATTATTTTATTTTTTGCATATTAATATACTTTTAGTGAATTCTATCATTTAATAAAAACAAATGTCATACTTTGTATTTTTATTATTGTATATTAATATATTATAATAAATATATATATTTATATTAAATATTTAAGGAAAATAATTTAATTTAAGTAAAAATAATTAATAACAATAGTTGTTTTTCAATATAAACTTATTTGGTTGATCTCTTCTTATAAACTTAATATAAAATACTTCTTATAAAATTACAAATTCACTTTGTATTTTGATTGCATTCAAATGCTTCTGTAGATTGATTCGTTCACAAATAAGTGAAAATAAATAAGTAAGCAAATAGCTTATCATAATATTTATGATTTCTTGATATTAAATTTAATTTGGATATATCAATTACATTTTAAAAATATTTAATTTTTCATTTTTAAATATATAAATTTATGTTTCATATAATATTAAAACATATATTTGTTGTAAAAAATGCATATAACATTCAAATTTGAAGCAATAAAATAATAATCTTTGCAACCGTGCATTTATCGACGAAATAAAATTAGGCGGTGATACCGTGACCCCCGAGAACAAACCACTAATAACTGACCACTTCTTGGGGGTCACGGTGATACCCGACATTCGTGTGAGCTGGGCTACCCGAAATCCATTTTTTTTTTGTAAATTTGTAATTACTCGAACAATTTTTCACATATAAACTTCTTTCTTCGTCCAAATTAAACTTAAGATTACATACTTTAATGCTGCATGTATAGAAAAAATTATTTTTTTAGTATTAAAATGAAGTTTAATCGAAACATTCAACCAATTTTTCTTAATTTCATGACTACTGTATTCAACATATTTTCAAAACTATTGTTTACCATG